TCCCAGTATCTCTGGCTTTCCGTTGTTGTCTTTAAGGCTGAACATCGAATCAGGTAGGTCCTCTCCATTTCCTCCTGTAGGTTACATAGAGGGTATGTGGGTTGAGTGTATACTCCCTATCTGTGAAGATGATTTGCAAGCAATCGCGTCCGGTACTTTGTCTGAACTCAGCAACGGGTTCGATTCTTGGCCAGCCGGCTATATCGGAGAGTGTCACAGTCCACTGTTTCTCCTTTGTTCGAGCTTTAATTTCGTAGCACTTTAAGGTGTGGAATTCTCTCCTGATTAAGGTGGTCATTGAGTGGAAAGGCATCGGCCGGCCCATGTATTGCAAAATCGTTGTCCCCTTCTTACCAAGTGTGTCAGCAAGCTCATTTCCTTTAATGCCACAGTGACCATGAACCCATTGTAGGACCATTGTTTTGTTTTTCTTTCTCAGGGGCTGATAGACTTTTCTTCATTCGTTTATCTTAGCTGTTTTGGGTGGCTCTCTGTTTCCAATTGAGTTTATTGCTAACTGTGAGTCCGAAAGTATCACCGCTTTGGTGAATTTCGTATCCAGGCAACATAATTGGTATAGTGCTATCCTCATGGCCTCTATTTCAACTTCAAAATCAGATCCATTGTGTCCTGCGGCTGCGTAGAAAGAGAAGAGTTTAGAATAGACACCTGCACTAATGTTTGCTTGGTTTTCTAGACACCTGCACCAATGTTTGCTTGATTTTCTATGTATGACTCACCTGCACCATGTTTGCTTGGTTTTCTATGTATGACCCATCAGTGAAGAGTGCACCAACGTTGGGGTTTTCTAGACACCTGCACCAATGTTTGCTTGATTTTCTATGTATGACTCACCTGCACCAACGTTTTTTCTATGTATGACCCATCAGTAATGACTAGGGGCCATTGATGAGAAGAGTTCAGAATAGACACCTGCACCAACGTTTCCTTGGCTTTCCGTGAAGACTTGGAGCCATTGATCTGCAGGATAGTTAACATCAAGACTTGGAGCCATTGATCTGCAGGATAGTTGATATTGAATGTCTCAAGGGCCTGTGAGTGCATTTGCTCAGGAGGGGTGTTTCATTTCCTGAAGATGTCAAGCTTTTTTGTGCAAAACTGTACATCAGTGTCTGCTAATGGGTTCATGAAGTGATAGTGGCTTTTTGGTTTGTCTTCGATTTGTAATGCTATCTTCAGTTCTATGGCTTTCTGTATTAGACCAACTTGCGTTTTCAGATGTCTTGGTCTATTCTCATAGGTGCTGAAGAACTTATCCGTGGGAATGCGTAGTAGCTTCTCGTACAGGATCAAGGCCTTTTCTTTGATAAGGGAACATATTGTGATGCTTCATGTAACTAGGAGCATTGCATCAATGGGTGTTGATTTAATCCCTAGAGTAATTAGTAGTAATGCTTGGTTGTGTGCCTTCTCGAGTGGTTTGTGAGTCACCTCTGTGGCTGTAATGAGTGGCTTACAGCAATAAAACGTTATTGGCTGAATAAACATCTTGTAAGTGGTGTTGAGATTTGAGCGTGCACAGCTCCATACTCTACCAGCAAGACGCTTCAGTATAATCAGTCTATTGGAAACTCGTTCTGCTATTTTAGCAATGGGGCTTTTCCACGTTAGCTTTGTGTCAAACGTCATTACGTGATATATGAACTAATTGGCTTTCCTAGGGTAGTGTCCTTCTACCTTAGAAGTGGATTTATGCTGTGACGGGACAAAGAAATGTTTGGAAAGCAGATTTCGCCGTGTTAATTACCATTCTATTGTTGTCGCAATGGTTTGATAGTAGTTTAAGTGCACAATCGAGGGCACTTTTGCCCTCTCTTGAGCGTTTTTCTTAGGTGCTGAATACCATAGAACAAGATCATTTGCATAACTTAAGCACTTGATGCCCGTGACTGTCTGTACCAATTCAGCTATGTCATTGATGAAGACATTGAAAAGAGTGCAGCTTGTGACAGTTCCCTGTGGAAGACCTGTTTGTAAAAGATTGGATTTTGATAGAGCATTTCCGTATCTGACTTTACACGATCTTTGTCCAATGAATGCTTTTATCCAGTTTAGCATGTTATACTTAATACCAATCTTTGCCAATTTTAGAATTAGCTTCTCTTTCCATACTAAGTCATATGCTGATTTGAAGTCGACGAAAACGCTTGTAAGAGTATTTCTTGCATCAAGTGCATCTTTGATGTGTTGGGAGAAAGTGGCTACTTGTTGATTTGTTGATCTTTGTGGCCTCAAACCTGCTTGTTCACTCCTAAGAATATTGTTAGTCTCAAGGAACCAGGTCAGTCTCCTGTTAACCATTCTTTCCATAAGTTTAGCCAGCACGCTTGTGAGGGAGATAGGCCTATAGTTGTCAAAGTTGCCAGGATCTTTGCCCTTTTAAGTACTGGTGTTACTATGGCAACTTTCCATTGGTTAGGTACGAGACTGATCTCCTAGATTTTGTTAAAAAGCGTCAGCATGGTTTCCTTGGCTTTTGGTCCCATTCTAATTAGAAACTCAGGATGAATACCGTCTTCCCCAGGAGACTTCTTGCACTTGAGCTGTTTTATCGCAGCATTAAGTTCCCAAGGTCGGAATGGTTCAGTAAGTTCATTATTTGGTGTTGCTATGTCTTCCTTAATTTCACCAAACTGTCTTACTTGTATCTTTAAACCTCTTGAAGATTTTCTGACATAAGTGTTTCTTTTGCCTGTGGGAATAAAACCTCGCAAAGCAGTTAGCTATTTCGGAGTCGTTGGTAAGCAATTTGCTGTTTAAGCGTATTGGTTCTTTCTTGGGTCTTTCTCTGTTGTTTTGGAGGTTTCTCAGAAATTTGAAAGTGCGTTGGCTATCACTTTGATAGTTGATATTTGAAATGAATTTGTCGAAGGAAGTGCGTTTAGCTTGTAAGATGGCTTGCCTTAGGACAGCTGATTGTCGTCTCCAGGCTTGTACGTCTTCCGTCCTTCCAGTCTGTTCAGCAATTTTGCGAAGGTCGTCCGTCTTTCTTTTCAGTTCCTCAAGGTGTTTAGACCAAAATACTCGATTGTGTTTAGTCTTGCCTCGGGGAATAGTTTTCTTTGCACATCTGATCATAATATTCGGGATATCAGTGCAAAGTTTGTCAGGATAATGGTTGAAGTTTATGGACTTGTGTGAAGTTCATTCTCTAAAAGGTTTGTGAATCTAGGCCAGTCAGCCTTCTTGAAGTTCCATGATAGCTTAGTTGGCACTTTCCTTGTCATGCTTTTGCTGCCGATGGTAATACTAGCAATGACTGGTTTGTGACCAGAACCAGGATCGTCNGAAAATACGTTGTCCAGGGTGCACCACGTGGAGGTAAGTCTATCGCGCTCCCCCATTCGAACATTCTTTAGTAGACTTGAAGACTACCACTTTCTCTTTTAGGTTGAAAACAAATCGATAGAATTGACTATAATGTTGTGCCAAAATGCTTTGCTATTGAGAATGATTGAGTAGAAAAGTTGTTTTGCGAGTAATAAGAATGCAAATCTAAGATGAATTTGTTGGGAAAATCTCAACAANGATTATAGACTGCATATATCTTGAAGTGGTTTTGACATTTCCAAACATTTAATCTGATTATTTCACATTTGTCTTGTGTCGAGCCCATACTCTTGATTAGATCGTAGTGTGAGGTGAGGCCTTCTTTCACTCCAGTTAGAATTCCACTTGCAACTTGTCGGTATTTAGGTAGATTGTACAGGGTGTAACCTGGGAATTGGTAATACTTCAGTTTGTCATCCGAAATGTTAGCTTCCATAATTGTGAAAATGTCTACATCATAGGTTTGCAGGATTTTCTGTATTTGGATCTTTTGTCCGGAGACATTCCTCCAGCATTCCACTGGAGGATCTGAAGACGTTGTGATTCGCCCTGACGAGGGCGATTTTTGTTATTGCCTTTTTTAAAGCTAGTCATAATAAGTCGAAGTCAAAAAAAACGAATTCCGAGTGATAGACTTTTTTGCAGTAAGAAAATACGTTGTCCAGGGTGCACCACGTGGAGGTAAGTCTATCGCGCTCCCCCATTCGAACATTCTTTAGTAGACTTGAAGACTACCACTTTCTCTTTTAGGTTGAAAACAAATCGATAGAATTGACTATAATGTTGTGCCAAAATGCTTTGCTATTGAGAATGATTGAGTAGAAAAGTTGTTTTGCGAGTAATAAGAATGCAAATCTAAGATGAATTTGTTGGGAAAATCTCAACAACTTGGCGTTTCCTTTACAGCCACTTATCAAGTTCTGTAACAAATTGACTAATTATACAGTTCTACGTTGCTGCTCAATGGAAGGAACCAATGTGCGAATGGAAGCAAATCGAACTTTATACCTCAAACCTTTCCCTAGGAAGGGAAAAATAGAACCTGACTTAATATCATGAAGTATTTTTAGTTAAGTCCAATTCTGTAGATCTGTCAGTCTGAGACAATTTTGCCACTTTTCATTGAATTTGATTTTCTTGATTTGTTCTGCTAAAGAAGGTAAAAGATAAACAAAATGTGTGCAACACTTTATAGCTGAAATGCAACGCATGAATAAATCTTTAATTTTCAAAAAATGCTCAACTCACGTTTAGGAATACATCATTATTAGTTGTTCTGATATATGGCAAAATACGTTTCATCTAAACTTTATTTAATGGATTAGGCAGCACTACGCTTTTCCTATGCAAGTGATTGCTTTTCGGATGATTAATTCGTGCAGTAATTTCAAAACCGTAACTTTGGCATATTTTAACGTTGAATGAGTTGAAGTACTTCAGTTGTCTTATTTAGATGAGTTGACCTGAATTGAGTTGAAAATGCATTATCGCAATTTTAGAAAACAAGTCATAAGAGACGTCTTATATTATCAACGCAATGTAATTTATCATGTTTCCACGTGCTAGAGTCTTCCTTTGCAGTTAGTACTACTTTTCAAATTACCTGAAATTCTCCTATTTATACCTTGGACCTCAAATTGGTCGAGAGGAATGGGAGAATAGAATAGAATCTTTTAATTTTATCAGATTTTTTAGATCTGTCAGTCCGAGACAATTTTTTCCGTTTTTCAGTAAAATTAATTTTCTTGCCCAAGGATTATGAATTTTCTGTTTACTGAAGTGAGAACAATAAGCATTCTCATTCAACCTCCTGCATTCGCCTTTTCTTTCTTCAATTCCCAGGAAGACGTCTGCACCTCCATTGTAGCATGGAATTCGCTCACATGGTCTTCGACACGCAAATTGTGAATTTATACACAAGAATTTCATTTGAGAGCCCTTTGATGACAAATAGTTGGGTTATATGTGCTTTGAATGGAATTAAAAACACTGAGGTTCATCTCTGTGTCTGTAATGAGTGGCTCACAGCAATGCGATATATTTATTTACTTCAAATCTAATCTGTTT